CGTCGTGACTTTGTGAAAATCAGGTGCGGGTGGGCGCTTCCACCTGCGGGGTGGGAGCCCCGAAGGAAGGGCGCATATTTTCCCTCCTCCCTCGGGCTGTAGACGAAGGGTATGTTTATTGAAAAAGAAGTCGATAGCAATCTCGGTCCACTCCCGGGTCGTGAAATCTCCCCGATGCATCCATTGAGTCACACGATAAAGCATATATACGAAGCAAGCGGAGATTCCGATAGCGTAACCCAAGATTCACGCGCTTCGTACTACATCAGCGAACGGGGTGCCAGGCGGCCGTGTCTTCGTGTCTGTGTGGACGAGTTATTGTTGCGGGGTACTGGACAAACACGTACGCATTACACGTAGTGGAAGGGACCTTATATCGGATTGTACTTATAAAAGGTACTCCCCTGCTTCCCGACCCTTGTTATGTATGGGACGGGGCGGACACTTTTCATCTCTGCTCCAGTATGAAACCGGGTCACCCTGGTTTTTCTCACCCCTTGTCGGTCGGGGAGAGACGCACGTTGTGCCGTTACCTCTGCGTGCCTCGACCCTAGGAAACTGCAGTGAGTGAGACTGGTTCTGTGAGCATGTTTTACAGCAGTCTCCTTTTTTTCCTTTCTAGGGAGAAGCTATTCCTTCCTTTTTCCCCGGCGAGAGGCGGACGGCTCTCCGATCCTCTCTCCGCGGTGTCGACCTAGAGACGCAGGGAGTGTAGACTGTTCTGTGAGGCATGTTTTACCACAGTCTCACTCACTGCAGTCTCGTAGGCGACACGGCCCCGGAGAGAAGGTAATCGAGAAAGCCGTCCCGACCTCGTCGCGCGGGAAAAAAGGGAGAATACTCTCCCTAGAAAGAAAAAAAAGGGACTGTGTAAAACATGCCTCACATAACAGTCCCACTCTGCAGTTCCTAGGTCGACGACGCGAGAGGACGACAGACGTGCGTCTCTCGACGACAAATGGGAGAAAAACAGTGACCCGTTTCATACTGAAGCCAGAGATGAAAAGTGTCGCCGGGTCCATACATAACAAGGGTCGGAAGCAAGGGGAGGTACCTTGTTATAAGTACAATACGATATAAAGGTCCCTTCACACTACGCTGTAATGCGTACCTGTGTCCGGTACCCCACAGATAACTCGTGGGGGGGGGGGGGACCACACAGAGCAACGGAAAGATCACCGGCCGTCCTGGGTCACGCCGCGCGGTGCCAGATTTAGTACGAAGCGTGGAATTGGGTTATCGACTATCGGAATCTCCCGCTTCGGTATATGCTTATGTTGACCTCCGAATGGATGACCATCTTTGGGGAGATTCACGGACCCGAGGGTGACCTAGATGCTTATCGACCGTTCTTTCAATAAAACATACTCGCTAACAGCGTGCCCCGGGAGGAAGGATAAATATGGCCTTCCTTCGGCCCTCCACCCCCAGGTGGAACGCCACCAACCCGCAACTGATTTTCACAATAGTCACGACGCCCCCACACCCCGTCGGCGTCTCCGTTCTCACAATGGGTTCGCTTATCCAGTATGATCTCCCCGATGCGGTCAGCAGGGGGATTACCCAATAGCGATAGCCTTAGAGGGCTACGCCATTTACTCATAGAAGCTGGAGTTACAGTAGGTAACTACAGTTATTATTATCGTTTTTTTTATGTTTTCGGATTTCACATCACATAACCACCATATCCCAACATGCATTGCGGCAAAAACATCCAATCACCGAGCTTCAACGATAGCTGAGGATTATGGGTAGTTCGATGTTTTAGCCTATCAAAACCTCTGAAAAAATAAATGTGTCTCTCAGAATCGAAAGCAGTGTACACAATTTAAACCAATGAATGTCATGTAATTAACAAGGATATACTGATGTTTTTTAGTGGATGAGTACGGCAGATATCCCTTTAAAATCATTTGACAGTGAGGGGAATACGGTTTTGTTATGAAAACTTTGAGACCGGAAATACTGTTTTCACCCCGCGAGGGTTGACGCTAACTTTACACGGACGCTGCCGCATATACACAACGTTCTCCTGGCGAGACCTCAAATCATCTTCCTCTATCAAACTATAGATCCTACACATCCACTGGACATGAATTATAAAAGTATAATATACACTTCTCGCTAGGAATCTAACCAAAAAGCATTTTAAAACTATCCTACAATTTTTTACTTTTCTAGAGAGGGTTATTTGTGAATATACGACCCTCCGGAGCGTTTGCAGTCAACGGGAGCACTAGAGGTTGAACACTTTAAAATGTGATTATAGGTTGTAATAAGCGCATGAACAATCGACCTATTTGGTCGTATGAGTTGGAGGACTTTTTGTTTAATAAACCTAGAATGCGTGGATTGTAGTGATTGCATTCCAGCGTTTCTTTTACATCACACACTTGGGAGAAACTGATTTTTATTATGGGTTGTCTGTAATATATTCAGAAAGGCGTTGGGAATATGAATGAATGGTAACAGCAGCTAATGAAAAATAATGTAATCTCTGCTTTTGTAATGCCTGGGACAGGAACAGATGTATGAAAAGTAGGTTTTGGCGATAAGAAGAAGTTCGCCCATGTTTAGTACATCGCCGGTTGATGCTTTTTAGGGGAGTATTTTTGATTTTATTGTTAATTTAATGCTTTAAATTGTTGAAATAGTGAAAAGAATAACCAGCAGGTTTGTGGTTGTCTATTTCGTTTTATTTCCCACTTAAACTACAGCGAACATGCACAAAAACCCAGGATAATGGTGGCCATTTTAACATATTACTCATTCCTTATTGATTGATATTGAATAGATGAATAGAAATAGAAAGCACACACACACACACACACACACACACACACACACACACACACACACACACACACACACAATAATGATGGTAAAACACAACCAGGGTAAGCACATAATGATCTCTGGAGTGCACAAACAGAAAAACACATGTACACATCACACACACAACACAGAGGACATCCTGTTAGTATCTAACTGTTTCGTATTAATATATAAATGTAAACCATCTTGTAAGTTCAATTTAAATACATTTGAATCTGATCTAAACACTGAAAATAATACTTTGGGATTGTGGAGTTCCCAATGCAGAGATGTACACATTAAACTTGTGCATATTGGTTACATTTTATGATCTGATTTTGCAAGAGATTGGCCCATCATTAAATAGCATAGTGTGTTTGTGCGTGAGTGTGTTAGTGTGTAGGGGGGGAACCGATTGCAAGCTATTACAACAACAGTATCAGGGCATATAGAAAAAATGCAGACAATATGAGAATATTCCAACAGCGCTTCGATTGTGTGCATGATGAGTGTCTGTAAGTGTGTGTGTACTGACCCTGCAGTTACTGAGCTCCTCCGCGGTAAAGATAATGACTCCACACTTCTTCCCCGGAATCCCACTGGGAGAGAGACAGAGAGAATGATTGAAAAAGAGGTTAATTGTGGCAAGACATAAATAATACAATTGCCATGCCATTATATGTTTTATATGCTTTTTAAGTTAATCAGACATAAAGCCCTCCTCTCCTACCGTATTGGTCTGTAAAAATAGGTTAAATTGCTCACGTTTTCAAAGGTAGAATGCTCTCCTCTAATACATGTAGGTAGCTGCCTGCATTTGTACCCAATCTATTTTTGACACTGAAGAGCTCCACTTGAGCAGTTGGAGGTAAAGTGCCCTGCTTAAGGGCACCTCAGAGATGATAACAATAGAGTGGTCCAAATATAGATTTTCAGCCCAGGATATTGAACTATAAGCAGAAATTGTGCGAATGTGTGTTTGAAACAGGATGATTGTGTGATCACTTTAAAGCAGCAACCCCTATGTTTACGTATACATTGAGTCAGCAATGTCAGCTAAACAGATGTTTGTGCCTAAGGTTTGTTTGCCTACGTTAGCCACACTAAGCTAATGGTCATACCCAACCAAGTAATCTTTGAGTGCATTCAAATGATTTCTATATTTTTTTAACCAACAGAAATGAATTATATCCAATTACTTTCATCTTCAGGCCAAATGTTATCCCTTTTCTTTTATCATGTAACTTTTTCAAACGACACTTGTCTAGAAATCCTACATTTTCTGCATTTGAATGTGCTAACAACAGGTTTCGTGTTAGTATCAATACATTAAATAGATATATTTTTTTACATGTTGACATATCACACTTTAAATATCAGATGCATGAATACAAAAATAACAAATTAATTCAATTTAGCTGGTTCACTTTCAGGGTCCTTGTATTGTGTTTTCTGGTGCACTTTCTTACTTCCAATCCGAATGTATAGTACATTTCAAGGAACATTTTGTTTCCTATAGTGTGTTATATAGATTTTTGGTCATATGAATGGTCTGCAAAGGATAAAACCCCCAAAGTTCCCTCCATAGGGAGTTTCTCTCCCAAACACTAACCCCTCCTTTGGATTCCTTTGTTTACTTCCGTAATATAGTTAATTAATTTTCTTTTACATTCCTGCAAAAATCCAAATCTCGCATCAAAACAGGTGGATTGAAACACACTGGCACATTGCAGCACTTGTCTTCTGGGAAAAAAGCTTTTCATATTAAACCTTGAATAGGAATGTGTTTACTCGCATGGATGTTTGTGCTTCCTTGTGAACAACATTACAAAAAAACAGGGCCGGCTTAGAAAACCTCCATAAGATGAACAACTCTACCGGGTACATTAATAAAGCATAAAGGAGACGGTTAAAGCAATAAAAAAAACAATGCGCACAAGTTATTGGACTTTCATCTCTATCTCTATCTAATAACAACGGAAAATATTTAGTTTTAATCAAAAACAAGTGAAGAAGATATAATCTTAGGTAATAAAATGGAATAAAGGAACAATTGGTTTGAATAACTGCTTTAAATATTATTAGACCTTGTTTTTTGTGGTATAATTGAGAATAATGTTCCAAATCTGACTCCCACATAATTTTCCCTTCCATCATTTATTTAATTTCTATGACACATAAAGAGTGTGCCTTTCTTTTGTTCCCTCCCCTCCCCCCCGCCATTTAAAACTCTATTGAGATAAAACTGGGTGTGGTGAAAGAACATTTGACTCAACCGTCACAAAAGAAGAAAGAAATTGGACAAAAGAAATGAAGTGGATGTTTAAAAGTAGAGTGCACAAGAAGGAAAGGAGGAACCGAACGTGAGTTTGGGGCACCAAAGGGGCCAAGCTTCACTGACGTGTCGTCAACATTTTCTGAAGTATATGAGTAAGTTGAATGAGATGAAGAAAAATGAGAGAAGAAGAAATAACACAGAACGGTGAAAAAATAAGACTGAAAGAAAGATGAGGAAAGGGAAAAGGAGACATACTGTAGATGATGTCGGCTACTCCCATGCAGCACATTTGAATTCAACTTTTAGTGATTGACTCTCAGCCCGAGATACTGTAACGACATCACGCTCATAGTTGCATCAGAACATGGAAATCGACTGCGATCTTTCTCACCGTGTGGCGAGAACAAATAATGTTACAGGTACATGTAACAGGATCCTGTTCTGTGATATGAGCACATATCCTCAGATAACAAGTGTATGAATCACAATCATGACCAAACCAAAGTGACACACTTACATCCACCGCCATCAGTTAAAGCAGTGGTGGGGAACCTCCGGCCTCCGGGCCTTATACGGTCCGCGAGACCATTTTGATGCGGCCCTCGAGGTAATTTATAAACACACGCAACATTTTTTTAAAAAAGAAATCTAGACCGCAAAATGATTAGACAAGCGAGTGCCTGTTTTCCCTGGCCAAGGACAGTTTCCTTGAGCACAACACGAGTCTAACGTGTCATCACGTGGTATATGTCTCGTCTGACAGGAGTGTAGTTCTGACAATTGCAGTACGCATAAGGAGCCGTACACATGCTGCAGTTTTTGCGTGGCTGTGTCTTTGTAAGCCCAGTGGCGATCAGTTCATCTGTCATACTGATCATACAGTCAATAACTTTGTTGTTATTTGCATCTGGTTAGCTAGCTATGCTAACGAATATAAGAAGCTTTTTCTACAACCAGTGAGGTAAAGGCACATCTTTATCATCATCTTTATTTATTTTATCTTTATTTATCTTTTGTTATTTTGTTTTACTTGCTTGTAAGCGCTTTGAGCACCAGGAAAAGCGCTTTATAAATGTAATGTATTATTATTATTGATATGATCATTATAGTTATAAAAAAATAAGAGAATAAAGTAAACAGGTGTAAAATACTGTATGACAGTAAAACAAAGTTGTTATTAATAAAGAAGAATACAGTTTGAGAGGGGAGTGATTTGTAAAATATCCATTAAGAAAAATAAAATCTGCTTACAGTTCCGTTTCATATGGGTGTTGAGAT